TATAGTTCTCAGCATGTGTTAGATGCTATTCTGAGTGCCTTCACATATTAACTGATTTAATTCTCATAATGATATTATAAAAGAGGAATTATTAGGCCCATTTCACAGAAGAGGAAACTGTCAGTCTATTAATCCTAGGCCTGCATGAAGTCATCCACCTGATAGGAGGTGGGGCTGGAATTCAATCCTGGGCAGGCAGGATCCACAGGCATGGGCACTGCTCCCTCTCTCACAGAGGAAGTGGTTTGCTGTCAGAGCACTTAGGGCTATGCTTAGCCTAGGGTACACCCTGGCACGGCTTGTGTACCTGTCCATCTACTTCCAGACAGCCAACTCTCCATGGCTACCCATCTTTATCACCCCTGGGTTTGTCTAGTTTTGGATCTTGGTGACTGTCAATTCTAGGACTAGCATGGAGTCCTCTTTGCTGCCCATCTGCCTTCCTGGCTTCAGCCATCAAACCTTTGCCAGCCTGAGCAAAATCTGGAGGAGGATATGGAGGGCTGGTCTGCTTCTCTTCCTTAGGGGGTATTGCAGGGTGGGCATATGTGCAGGGTTTGCGTCAGAGTTCAGTTCAATTATGACCTTGCAACTTCTAGCCCCGTTACCCTGAGAAAATCCCCTTTTCTTTCTATACCTCAGTGTCCTCTTCTGTAAAATGGGGTAAAAATGACTTGCTCCAGAAGGTTCATTTCAAGTATCAAATGAGATATGCATGTCAAATATTTAATGAAATACCTGGCACTGAGTAATCACCGAGCCAAGATAGCAATTGCTCTCAGTGATACTGCTTTTTATTCCTACTATCACTACGTGAGAGGTAGTTTTTGGTGAGAGGTAGTTTTTGGAGAACCCACTGCCGGGTGAAGTGAGTACAATCTGGGGGCATGTAGGAAGGAGGCATGGGGTTCTCCAGGAGAGGTTCTTTCTGGTGAGAAAAGCGGGATCTGAGACTGGCTTTGTGAAATCGTCATCTCTTTTCTCTCTCTGGGCTTCTGTTTTCCTGCCTCTGAAATGTGTGTGCTGCCTGAGATGATCCCAGAAGACTTCTGGCTGGGATAGGCCACAGGGTAATAGGCCTCAAACACACAGGCTTGCATTTGTTCTAGGACTCCAGCACTTAGTGTCCCTGAGGGCCTTGTTTGGTGATGTCTCCCAAATCAGCTAAAGCTGCGCATGGTTTCTGTCTGGCCAACCAGTAGTATGGCCAGTGCCCAGCACCTGGCACAAGACGAATGGTCAACAGTCCCGAGTTGGATGAATAAATGAGCTCCGCTGAGTGAGGGAGAAGTGCCTGTGACCCCCGAAGGTCAGGCAGGTTGGGTTTCTTGTGGTATAAATATTTAGAATTTGATCATGATTATAGGTTTTAGCAAGAGTGATCACTTTCTCGTGGTCATGGCCTTGGACCTAACCAAACCATGAGGCAGCACCAGAATAGACTGCACTGAACTGCTGCCTTCAGAGCCAAAGGGAAACTGACTTTCTATTGATCCATGAGGAAGATCTGTGTTCTTCTTTAAAAAAATAATTTAGGGGCTGGGGATTTAGCTCAGCGGCACAGCGCCTGCCTGACAAGTGCAAGGTTGTGAGTTCGATTTCTGGTACTGGAAAAAAAAACCAAAAAAAAAATTTTTTTTTTATTCTACAAGCAACTCAGTGTGTAGTAAACTGATCAAACCAGGTTCTTTCTTCCAGGTTTTTCCCCTAAAGTTTTTGAACTGGAATAAAATTAGAGCCTAAATAACCTTTGTTTATAATATTGCTCAATATATACAACTAGTAATAAAGTGCTAAATGCATTATCTCATTTACTTCTCAAACAAACCTGTGAAGTAGGTGTTATTGTCATTCCTATTTTATGAGTGAGGAAAGTTTGACAGCTCACTGACCTTTGCGAAGGTCGAATGACTGTAGGAGGGCAGGTGGACATGTGGACCCGGGTCCGCTGTTTCCCTCACCAGCACCCTCAGCACTCTGGCCTGCCCGAGTCCATGGCATCAATGACAGCTACAGTTCATTGACCACGCATTATGAGGGAGCCACTGGCTTAAGTGCTCTTCATGCACGAGCTCTGTTAATCCCTGTGCAGAGAGTCAGGAAAGCACCATTATTACTTGCTCCATTTTAGAGGTGAGGAAACAGAGCTTCTGCAAGATTACGTAACCTGCCAGATGCTGGTGGGTGGTGGAGCTAATCTATTCATGTAGAGTGACAGAGCTCAGGAAACTCTCCCAGGTAACAGACGAGGAGGGACTTTCCCAAGTCCTCACAGTGAATCAGCGGTTGAACAGGGGCAGGACTTCAAAGGAGACTTTTCAATGACTGCTGGCCTGGGGAAGTATTACAGTAATTGTGTGTGTGTGTGCATGCATGTGCGCAGGCACGTGTGAGTGCGTCTGCATTGTCCCTTGCTCTAGCAGCAGGAGAAAAACTTAGGGGCTTGGAGCCCATGCTTTGGAGTCATACCGACTTGTGCTCAAATCACAGCTTCAAAACTAACTCGCTGGCAACCTTGGGAAAAAGCCTTCCTCTCCCAGTGCCTCAGTGTTCTCTTCTGCAAAATAGACAACATGCACACCTGCCTCCCGGGGATGCAGAGAAGTAACTGAGGAGCATGAGAAGAATGCCTGGCACACGGCTAACATTAAGTAGCTATTATCATTGTTGCTTCTACTGAAATGACCCATGAGCTGACAGAGGCTTGACGACCACTATTCCATAGAGCAAAGCTTGAAATCTGCTACAGAACGACTGCCTTACTGTGCCGGGATTCAGAGGATGACGAGTGTCTGAGACTCTGCCAGAGACACACATGCACTTGGGCCACACATACATACATGTTGCTGCAAACTGGCCTTGGACTTGTTGCATATAGGTGTTTACACACATGCACAGATAAACACACACGTGCATATACAATACAGTTGCAGCATATAGATGCTCACATATGTAGGTCCACATATTATGATTTTGCATATGTGCTCAAATGTGTGCATAAACATGTGACATACACATGGCCCAACATATATGCCTACAAGTTCTTGCACACATATGCATATGCACAGTGCACACGCAGGGCGAGTACTTCCCCCTTCTTTGCCTTGTTACTGTTTCTCACCCTTCAGCTCTCGGCTCAAAGGTCACTGTGCCAGCGCAGCCACCCTGACCTCCAAGGTGAGGTCAGACCACCCAGGCTGTACTCGTCAGCACCCTGCATTTTCTCTCTTCAGTCTGTGCCTCAGTTGTCACTGAGTAGTTGTAAGCAGTTGCACAATTATGCATTTCCGGGCAGGGTCCAGCCTGACCATTCTGATCAAATCAAAATCGTCTAACACAGCCTGGCACATAGTAAGTATTCAATAGTTATGTGCCATTGATCAGACAGGACCTCCAGGATCCTATTCGCATGCAAGCTGGGGAATAGCTCCTTCACACTGGGGCTACACTGCCCAAGATACCTTGTATAGGAATTTTGACCTTGGGGTTTCCAATGATTTTGTAGACTCCCCTAGACAGAGCTAGGCCTCAGAACAGTGTGGAAATTGATAAGAAAACAATTCAACTTTCAAATATATTTCATAGTGCTCTGGAAAATAAACTTAGTAGAGAGACTATCTAACAAGTCTGAAATGTAGACAGAGCTTTATTGCTTTTCACCCAACTGTCCCCTGGGAGTTTAGGGGACAGCAGAAGCTGCCACAAATAATAAGGTTGACAAGTCACTGTCTGGGCTGGGCTGGACTGTTTTCTTTCACTCAGACTAGATTACAGCCATAAGCAGGTTTCTGCTAGACGTAAAGAGGGCAGAGCATGATGGGTAGATGGAGATGAGAAACACAAGGCATGAGGATAGAAAGCAGGCAGCTCGGATTAGAGTCATTTATTTTTATTCACTGAAAGAATAGTTTTGGGCACTGGGCCATCCCCTGTGTTTGTGGCTGGGAGTGCAGAAGGCAATGGAGTAGACACAAGCCCTTGACCTCTGGGTGCTCCAGGCTAGCTGCAGAGACGGACAAGGAAGCAGGAGACCAACCTGCCGTGTGATCTGTGCTCAGTGGGGGCATGCTGAAGAGGACGGGCAGCTTCTAGAGGAGAAGATGGCAGCTCTGACCTGGAGGACGAGCAGCAGCCAGGAAAAGGGGGCAGGTGAGCTCTGAGGGAAGAGGCAAGTTAGTGAGCAGGCCCCAAAGGGAAGGAGAGGGCACACTAAGACAGGGCAGGAGCTCATACAGCAGGCTCAGCATGGGGGGGCAGCAGGATGGGGTCCAGGGACTGCACTGCATGCCCCTCAGTTTGCTGGTGCCGAATCCTGAGAACGAAGCCCCTGCAGGCCAAAAGAACACAAACCAATTGGGAAGTGGAGGTGCTCGCAGGAGCTGGAGCTTTGTGACAGGCCAGGGACCAACTCCTGCACTCATGAGTATCCAGGATGTGACAGCAGGAGCTTGCCTGCCAGACAGACCAATCTCCGGGGCCGCTGTCTCACCTGTCAAATGGACTGGCAAGAGCTTGGCAGTTTCTGCAGTCCAAGCTCTAGTCAGCTGGGATGAGTCGCTCCTCCTTCTCCCAGATGCTGCCCTGTGCTTCTACCTCCTGCCCATACATCCACCTGCCCATCCCTCCACACCGGAGGCTGTGTCCCAGACCCACTCCTGTGGTCTCTCTGGGCCTCCGACCGGGAGCCGGATGGAGTTAATGGTAGAGCTGCCTCTTCAGGCTCTGCTCTCCACCTTCCCCACCCAGGAGCCCCCACCCACCCTCACTGTCTCACACTCCCAGAATGTTTTCCTGCCTCGAGTTTCTTCCTTTTCCTCCCTTCCCACTCATTCCCTGCTTTTGTCTTGCTAATTCTTCCTCAGCTTCCAAACCCAATCTTCAATATTATTTCCTCAGCGAAGGCTTCCTGAAGAGGGCCATTGCTTCTTACATTCTATGCTAACACTGTGCATCCCACCTGCCAGTTCCACATCACAGTGGCATTTAACCTACCTTTGGGAGACTGTTGAATGCCTCATCTCCCTCCGGGATACAAGCACAGTGGGGGTGGGTGTCTCTGACATCCTTCAGCTTCTATCTTTTCACCTGGGCATATATTAGACCATAGGTGACAAGCGATTGAATCAGTAAGTGACTGTCTAAATGTTTTTAATACATTTCACACATATGTAAGTTATTAATTATACCCAAGCCAGACACAAATTTATTGAAGCTGTTTTTCAAGGACCACAAAATTATACTGACCAATCCTGGCCACTAGAGGGCGATGTGCAATCATAAGCTGGGTGGCCTGGGGGACCCCCCAACCCCTTTTAAGTGGACGTCACTTTGTACTTTATACTATGGAACTCCCAGACTCACTGATTAAAATCTAAAAATGTATAGAATATTATGACCTTGAAGGCTTGCCAGAGCCTGGCTAGTCCAATCCCAACACTGATGTCCAAGTGAGAATGCTTCTCCTCTGCCTCCTTTGATCTTGGGGCACAGACTTATGCCCAGCACTGGGAAAACCCTTTTCTTTTCAGCATTCCCGTATTTTATTTTGTGGGAGAAACAACTACACTATCTGTATGTCCAGCCATCCAACACGTATTTATTGACTCATTATTACATCCTAGGTACTGTTGCTAGAATTCTTCTGTACAAAACAGACACCTGTCTCATAGAATCTACCATCTGGTTGGGAAGACAAACATCACAAATAACACACCCCTCTCAGCTACGGTTAGCATGCAGGAGAGAGGCAGAGCTCGGGGACAGCACCTACCAGGAGCACCTGACTCATTCTCAGGCCCACCCCAGGAGGATGACCAGGGCCGGCAGGGCATCAGAAGACCAGGCTTTCTACCCCACATGCCCATCAGGCTTGCCCAATACTGGGGGCAGATCCTTTCTTCTTTTTGGCCTCCTGATTTTCCATCTGTATAACTGTATAAGTATCTCAGTTCTGAGCCTTATTAGGAAGATATTCTAGGTGTTTTCAATTCATTGTTTAATTAATTAGTCTTTGAAGCATGTGTGAGTTATTTAGATACTTGGTACTGCTGGTACGTAGGGTGTTGAGCAGGTGTCACAGGGCTTGGGATGCAACTTTGGGATAAAAAGGGGCTTCCACATTGACTGTCTCCCACTGAGCAATGAACAGAGGGCTGAGACTTCAACCTCTATACAACTTCGGGGTAATTTTGTTTAGGCATAGGAATTCTGCAGGTTTAAGGCCTAGGACACAGCCTCCCAACGTATGGCACATATACTACCTGCAGCCAATCACTTGGGGAGTTAACTAAGTACACAGATGAGTGGACTCCACCCCCAGATGTAATGATTAGGTAGCACTGAGGTCCAGGAACTGACATAATAAGGAGCTCTCCAGGTGACAGGTATATGCTGAGTTCTGCAGCTGTTACCGTGGGTCTTTATAGAAAGAATTTATGACACTCAGGCTTCAAATTGACCTTGACTTTTGTTCTGTATATTCCGGGAGAGTAGTGATTAAATTGGATGTGTTGTAATTCAAGTCCTATCTTAAATACATGTAAGGATTTCATTTTAAAAGAGGCCCCATTTGTCATGCAAATGCCTATCCCAATGGGATTCTTTCTTGTGTATTAATTTTCCTAAATGAGGGGCCTACCTCACTATTTATGCTTCACAGACTAATTAATTAAATAATGAATTTAAAAGACATGGTATCTGGCTTTGTGGAAGTTTTGCGGCCTTCATTTCAGAAAGTAGGAACAAGAGGAAGATTTGTGGCAGGAGGAATTAAATTTCAAAGTCCAGAGTTAAGCTCCTCCAGGTTAAAGCATTTATTTGTTGTCTGATTTGTAATCACTGCCCACCTGGGACAGGTGAGCTTGGTCCAGTGTCTCCTGAATGTAGGTAAAATCCTGATGTCCTTGAATTTGTTATTGCTGAAGGGGCTGCACTCCCCTTGCTCTGTTCAGAATGAACATGTGTACGGGTCAGAGCCTTCTAACACCCACAGTCTGGGCTGGAAAATGGCAGCAGAGAGATGTCCTGCATCATGAGATGTCTTGTTGCTTGACAAAGAATATTTCATTTAGAGCCCTCCTCTCCTTGACCCATTGCTACAGTCTTTTGACTTGTCCGTCTTTTCTTCACTTGGGGCGCAGCTATAGATGCTGACCACGGTGATGAGAACAGCCTTAAGGGCAGAGGTCCTCAGAGCTGCAGCCCCATCAAAGAGCTTAGGAACAGAGGTGACTAACAGTGGAGTTGTCTTGTTCAGCTCTCACCTGTTCTGGCATATTCAGAAATCTCTAGGGGAAAAGCTGGGTATGATGGCACATGCCTATAATCCCAGCACTTGAAGGCTGAAGCAGGAGGATCATTGTGAGCTCAAGGCCAGCCTGGGCTACAAAATGAACTCAAGGCTAGCCTTAACTGCATAGTGAGACCCTGTCTCAAACACACACACACACACACACACACACACACACACGAAATCTCTAAGGGGAGGGACAGGTAGGTATTCAGGACAAGCTCTTGACCAGGCAGGGAAATAGGCACAAACGGGACAGGTGTCTTTATGTTGGCAGCTACTCCAAGTCATGCCAAATCAGTGGCTTAGATTGTTGGATCAAAAGGGACAATTACCTGGCTTTCAGGCCTAAGGACTGCAATTTGCATTTGTGAGGAGGGAGGAGGTGATATTTGGAGGTACCAAAAAGACAAAATGAGAGTAGCAGGATAGTAGAGTGAAATCAGTGGAAATGAGATACCATGGAAGAGGACAAGGGAAAAGAGACTGTTACAAATGCGAGCAAGAAGTGTTGCTTTTACTGCAACTCTTCACATGCACTTGGCTTTTGCTGACGTGTGCTCTGCATGTGTGCACATGAGCATTACTCATTCTCTCTCTATCCCCACTGAAACTATGAGGCCAGCTGGTCACTTCCATATGAGCCATGGGGTATCTGATGCTCAGAGGGAGCTTCTCAGTGCATGACTTAGTTACTTTCCTTGTTGCTGAGACAAAATACCTGACACCCAAAGTTAAAGGGAAAGGTTCATTTAGCTCACACTTTGCAGATGTTTCAGTCCATAATCAACTGGCTCCTAGGTAGGGTGGCTTCGCAGAGAACAGTTCATGGTGGCAGAATGTAGCAAAACAAACAAGAGGCAGACAAGCCTCTCTCTGTCCCTGTATCCAGTCTACCAGGATTAGGGCAGTGCCAATCCAATCAGTGGACTGATTTAGTAATCACCCACCCTTAACCCTAGCAACCTCAATCCTACCATTGCACCATGAATCAATCACACATTTCAGATTCAGCTCCCTCTGGAAGATGCCACACATATGACTGAATGAGGCTTTGTGGGGACATTTAGGCACAAGCCATAACAGTGCATAACCAGGGAAAAGCTGAGTCTTTGTGCTTTATGCCTAATGCTGTTGCTTTAGTAAGTTTTCTATGTTTAGCCTTGTTCAAATGACATTTTATATAGAAGAACTTACATAAAAACATGAAGCAGGCTCATGCGGCATTGCTCTTTCCTTGAGGCCCCACCAGTGGAACATCAGTGAGATGTCACCAACTTTTCTGGTGCTTTGCGGCATAGGTAACCAGAGCCACTGCCACTCCTTGGTAGAACAAGAGTGCTGGCTTCCTGTAATAAGATAAAGACTGGAGTCCATCAATCTGATGATGCAGAAAGAACTAGAACAGAAAAGATAGAGGGAAGACAAAAAAAAGTTGACAGTTGCAAAAGTGATAAGGTCCATGCCCTGCACTGTAAATGTCTTATCAGGAATCCTGTTCAGTTGGTCACGGGATAAGCCACAGAGCATGTGGAGTAGAGTGAGCGATTGACCCTGGGCCTATAGGAGCACTGACTATGACCCTTTGTTCAGTGATCTGTGCCATTGAGAATGAGGCCATAAGCCCTGGACTTAGACAGGCTTGAGTTCAATGCCCTGATCTGCCACTTTCTAGTTGTGTTTTTGGACAAAACACATCATTCACTTAACCTGGATTTCTTCATGTGTAAAGTGGGAGTAATAATGGTTGTGCAGAAGAATGAAATCCGGGCCAGAAAACACTTAACATAATTGTAACCACTAAGTGAATATCAGTTGTGGTCATTATAATCACACTGAACACCATGTGTGGAATGGCTTCTTTCCTTTGGCTTTTGCACATGCTTCTTTCTCCTTCAATTGATAGATTCTTCCTTTCATTTCAACCTTTCTGGGCTACCGTGATAACATGGTCTCTTCTGTTTTCCCATCCGAGTTGCTTATGACATTAAAAAAAAGAACTAACCTCACGTTTTTTGGACTGAGTCTCAGAGAGGTGAAGCCACACTGTTAAGTATGTACTCAGTGCCAGCACTGTTACTTAAATCCAAGAGTAGCCCGTGCACTCAGCCCCTGCCTTTAGTGGGGTGGGTAGTCTTTACTGTGCAGGGAGGCTAATCTAACATAGGGAATTGGAGGTTAGCCGTGTGTTAGCACTCAGAGCTTTCACTGTGCAGTACTGGGGCTGCAGTCTATCAGGGTCTCTAGGCTAGGATTTCCAGAATACAGTTGGAGGGATGTGTGTAAGGCCTGGCATGGGAGAGGATTTTCAGTCTTAATTTTGTAATCATTATTAACTATTAACACAAAAGACTGTGCTTTCACATTTAGGAAGTCAGAGAGAATTTCCTTTTGAAATAAAGAAAGACGTAGAGAACATTAGGTCAGCAATAGTTGGGGGTCTTGCGAATGGCAAAACCATGACCCTGGAGTCTGATGGTACAATTTGAAAACTGTGATTCCCTATAATTTTGCTATTGTGTAGAAAAGGGAAAACTAGACTTAGTGCCTAGCTGGATGTCACAGAATAAATTAGTGGCTGAGCTTAGTCAGAGGAAAATGCATTTCATTGTCCCCAAATCTTAAGATAAAGGGAAAAGTGATACATCAGGTTGAAGCCCTGGGAGACAGTTGTTAGAGGGCTCACAGTTTGGCCGCTGACTCTCTGATTGGAAACTTCCTTATTCTTTCCTGTTTTCTCAAATTCATTGCTCTTTCCAGTTCTCATTTGTTTCCCCAATGCCTTGCTGTGGACTTTGGAGCGAGGGTTGGTGACTGATGTCACCTTCCTGTCCTGGCCGCTGGGTCAGAAGGTTCCGTTCTGAGCCCCAGCTGACCTGATCTGGTGATGAGGAGGCGCCTGATTTCACATCTGGATGGGGCTCTGTCCTGCCCCTCACTCATGTGGCCGGCAGTGGTCCTTCCTCCCAGGGACCGCATCCCTTGGAGGGCTGTTAGTGAGAGGAAGGGGTCTGAGGCTTCAGTAGCTCAGAAGAGCCAGCCTGGAAAGCGGAAAGAGCATTATCAGGTTTGCAGTCACCCTGTCAGCTGGGAGGAGCTCATGAGCAGTGACTGGAACCCACCTGGCCCTGAGGGCTGACTCGGCTCTGATCCTGAGCCCGAGAAACTGTTTATTTTTGCTCAATAGGCAGACTGCTCTTTCTCAGAATAAAAAACACAATAACACATGCAGGTTTCATTTTAATTTTTACAATAACCCCCAGGATAATTACCATTCCTCTTTTAGTAAGGAGGAAGCTGAACCCTAGACCCACAAAAGAGGCCTGCCCACGTCACCCGGCTATGTGCAGCAGCCTGGGACTGACCTCTTCTCACAGCTGGCTCAGGGCCAGAGCTGATCCTTGAGTGGGGGCTCCAGGGAGGGCTGGACTCTCTGCCTGTGGACTTCCTTAAGTATTTATCATGTTATGAAGTCCTCACTAAGGTGACACACGGGGGACAGGAGAAAAGACAGAACTGAGGTGAGAAAATGAATCTCCTAACCAAATTAGGAACATAAGCTCCTCTTTTACAAGTGAAAGTGTTTGTGACAGTCATGGGCAATATTCTTTATTAGGAGCTGGATTGCTAGAAGAATTCAGGCAGTTTATATTCTTTGTTTCTCATACAGACCTTCCCTAGTTTTTATGCGCTTATCCAATTTTTTGTTATCATTACTATGCACACATATGTATATATTTATACACACACGTGCACACACACACATATATCTATTCAGGGTTTTGACTACGGAATAATATGATGTATATATATAGATTTCTTTTTCTCTCTCCTGCTTTACACACACACACAGATTGTGCAGTTGGCACAATTCAAAATCTGCAGGTAGTCTGAGAGACTGCAGGCCTAGAAAGAGTTGATCTTGCAATTTTAGCCTGAAATCAGTTTGTTGGCAGAATTCCCTTTTCCTTGAGGGATCTCGGCCTTTTTTTCTTAAGATCTTTGATTGGATGAGGCCTATCCGCAGTCTGTAAAGCAATTTGCTTTACTCAGAATCTGCTCATTTAGCCTTTAGTCTCATCTAATGAGTGCTTTCTGTTTTAGTTACTTTTCTGAGACAAAATACCCGACATGCAAAATTAAAGGAGGGAAGGTTGTTGTAGCTCACACTTTGTCGAAGTTTCAGTTCGCAGTTGACTGGCTCCAAAGCAGGGTGGAGAAACTGCTCACGGCAGAAGGAAGGTAGGAAGGCAGCAAAATAGTGAAGTAGCCAGGCAGTAAGTGACTAGCAGCAAAGGACAACAGTCCTCTTTCTGTCCCTTATATTCTATCCAGGCAGGCAGGTAGCACTCACACCAGGGTGGGGCACCCTTAATCCTAGCATTGCCTCATGAATCAATCCCAGCATCACATCCTTAACCCCAGCATCACACAGTCTAGATCCAGCCACCTCTGAAAATCCCCACCTATGTCTGTGTGAGAGGCTTTGGGGAACATCTAGATACAAGGCATAACACCTTCACAGCAACACTCACATGTATTTGACCAAATATTTGGGGATTGTGGCCTAGTGGACACAAAATTAACCATAGCAACATACAAATATATCACATATACAATGATATCTGCTAATCTTCACGGAGCATTTATTGTGTACTGTGTGCCACTACCTCGCCAAATAACCCCTGTGACTGTAAAGCGGTATCTGACATTGAAGGGAGATACATGGTGGTTATAGAAGGCAGCTCTGAGCAGAGGTAAAGACAGGTGCTGGCATCAGGCTGACTTTCGTTCAAGAGCTACATGCAGAAGGATCAGAAAAGCACCGTCAAGGTCTAAGTTGGGCAAGTTACTTAATCTCTTTTTCCTCATCTGTAAAACAGTTAAAAATAACATTTGCCTCATCACCACAGTGGGTGGCTGACAAATGTTTATTGACAAATCGCTGTCAGAGGAATCACCAGGGTGCTTCCCAGAAGGTAAAGGAGACAGTTTATCTTCAGCCCCTCGCAAGGAGCCTGGAGTTTAAAGAATTCAGGTAGTGAGACACAATGAGACACAGTGACTTTGCAGCCCTGGTACTGTGCTTTTCTCCTGATCTCAGCAGATGCAGTCTTGCTCACTGCTCTTGGGATTCACCTTGCGGGGACTGACGGAAGGTGGAGCTTCCAGGAAGCCGTTGTCTCTAAAGCCAGGACTAAACAGGGACCTCCCTGGCCTCAGTCAAGAGCTATTTTTTGTACTTCTTGGGCATCACCGTGGGGCAGTCAGTTCTCTCACAGAATCTGTTTTGGAGTGAAGGCTGCGACGGGGGTTGGCAGACTGCGGTCTCTGAAGACGCAGGCAATGTGGGCTACAGCCTGGTGAGTCCCTACATCTCTACTAGCAACTTGCTCCTCTTCAGGGCTGCAACCTTCCCCAGGACACTATCAATTAGGCTCATCGCTTTCCTTTATTGTAAAACAAAGCTTGCCATTTATAGGATTAATTGGAGCATGAAGACATCACAGAGAAAACAAATCAGCGTTGTGTTAACAGTTAATTCATCATTCAATAAATACCTACGGTGTAATACTGGCCGAAATCCCAGCTCTGACACTGGTAGGCTGTGTGATCTTGGTCTTGTTTCTTAATCTCTTTTGTGGATCAGTTTCTTCATCTATAAAATGAATATAATGTTTGTGTCCACTTAATAATTATATTTGGGCATGATAGCACATTCCTATAATTCCGGCACTCTGGGAAGCTGAGGCAGGAGGGCTGCAAGTGTGAGCCCAGCTTGGGCAACTTGGCAACTTAGTGAGAACTTGTCTCAGAAAAGGGGTGAGGGGAGGGAAAGACTGGGACACAGCTCAATGCAAAGGCCCTGGCTTCAATCCCCAGTATTGCTAAACAGGAGGGTTATTAAGTTATTTGAATTAATTAACATACACAAAGAACATAAAAACTTGTCTGCACACAGTAAGTGCCCAACAAACGACATTTATGTATTTAATTTATTTTTAGTGATGATATTGGGAATTGAACCCAGGGCCTTCTCACTGCATTATGTCCCTATATATTTTTTTAATTTTTTATTTTGAGATAGGGTCTCACTAAGTTGCCTAGGTTAAACATAGCAAATTTTACTGCTGCTGTTATTATTATTATTACTAATATTATTGCTACTTCTACCTCTACTTTGTGCCAAGAATTCTAAGATACTGAGAGAACCGTATCTACAAATGCCACAAATGCTGTCCCTCTTTTGTGAAGTGTACAGACTGTGAACATGGAAGAAATGTAACACAAAGTAAGTTTAAAAAAAGTCTTGCAGACTTGATTACAGATGGTGACAAGTATTCTGAGTGAGACACAGGTGGGCAGAGGAGCCACTTAGAAAGCAGACCAAGGAAAGTGTCCCTGAGCTGAGGATGTGTGCTCAGCCTGAAGGGTGGGAAAGAGGAGGAAGAAAGTAATGATAGACATAAGGAGCCGCAGGTCTGAAAACCTTGGGGCTCCAGAGAACAAGGCACATTCACGACAATAGGAAAGGCCAAGCAGCTGGAGCAGAGTGAGGGAAATAGCAGTGGCTGCAGCTCGCAAAGTGTTCTCTGTCAGACACGGGCCTGGTGCGCTGTGTATTTCCTTAGTTATCTTCACAGCAGCTATAGGAGGCGGCCCAGGCCCAGTCTAGGCAGGGTCCTATCCTGACTTTTCACATATCCTTACCCCTCTTTGCTGCCTATAGAATTAAATGCCAACTCTTAACTGACATTTCTGATGTTTCAAAATACAGTCCCAACATAACATTCCCGATTTCTCTTTTTGTTTGCTTCATTGTTCCTTAAAATTAATTTTAACCTACATAAGTAATACATAAATATTTTCCCCAGGTAGAAACTTACTTTGATAAATATAAAGTTCTGTTTAACACTCTTTGCCTATCCCACCTCTGTCTCAGTTCACTCCCAGAGGTAACCATGCAGTCAACTTGCCATGAATTCCTTTGTAAAACTAAGGATTGTAGAAGACTGCAGAAAATACAGATTAATTTTCTTTTTTTTTTTGTCTTTGTCTTTTCTTCTGGTACCAGGAATCGAACTCACGACCTTGCGCTTTGCCACTGAGCTAAATCCCCAGCCCCTAGAAAATACAGATTGATTTGTGTCCCCAGAGCAGCTCCCAAAGCATAGGGCCAAGCAGCCTCTGAAGCTGTGAGCCATAGTGACCCTTTCTTCCTTATAAGTTGGTTACTGCTGCTATTCTGTCACAGAGATGGAAAGCTGACCAACACAGAACAGAGTTCCAATGTTTTGCAGTGACAAATAATGCTGTGCCAAACACTGTTACCAGTCAGGGTCCAGTTAGGAAAACAGAAAACCTCTGTAATTACTCAACCAGGGGAGACTGACACAAGGATTTGTCCCGCAGTGGAATAAGTGACTTGAGAGAAGCCAAGCAAGAAGGCAAGGCAATCCAAGGATTGAGAACAGCAGGAAGATGCACCACCCTAGGGGTAGAGGCACAGAGGTGATGCGAACAGAGCACAGGAGCCTGGGCTCACAGAGGGGAGCTCTGGGAAAGAAATGCTTCTTTCTTCTTGACTTCTGTGTTTCCATCAATGCCTCTCATTGGCCAAATCTGCCCAAAACAAAGAGGATCACACAATTCCCTGGTAAAAAACAGATCAGGGAATGCAGGAGACAGCAAAATGGTGAGATGCACACTGTTTTGTGCAAGGGTTGTTTTTCTGGCACAGATCTCAAGCACTGGGAATACTGAGCATTGTTGTCAGGGTTTACAGGGGAAACAATTTAATATTGTTGCATAATGTATAGGATTATTTTATAGTAATCACCCAAAGAGTCAAGTACAAAAAGAGTGCAGGAAATCTGTCCACATACTACAGACCCAAAGAATCCAGCTGTGGACCTGGATCGCATAGCAATGTCCTTCATGAGTCGAGCTGAAGACCTACAGCCCATCACAATGTCCCCCATAAGTCCAATTGGAGGTCTAGAAGCACAACAATGTTTCATACAAGTCTGCTTCAGGGATCTGTACTGAGAAGGCCCAAAGTTCGGTGGTGGAAGCTAGAAAGTCTGTGCCAGTGGATGAAGGATCTGTAGCAGCAGGCTAGGAATCTGCACTGGAGCCAGGAAGTGACACTCAAAGTAAGAACCAGAGCTCCCCTGAAAAGTATCAGAGCCATCCTCAGCAACAACGAGGTCCTGAGCTCCTCTGATGATGAGAACAGCTGAGTTCATATCAGGAAAGCCAGCATGACAATCTCCTCCAGGAGAACCAACAGCCCCTTAACAGCCCCCTTTCTTCCTCTCCAGTTCTCCTTTTTATGTTATTGGCAGCAGTCTTCAAGTGGGCCCTCCACCCCCCAGCACTGCACTGATTCTGTTGAGCTGGGTGTTACAAGCTGATATCAGTTGTCAATCCACTGCACTGAATAATAGGCTCACAGATCATTTTGATGCACTGTACAAAATTGCTCTTTGAAGTGACTGTAGAAATGTACATTCCCATGAGCACTGTATGAAGCTTCTTTCAAAACTCCAACTCTTGCATGTTGGGGTCTGGAGCTCCCTCCAGTCTCTTCTGTCTCAGGCTAAGTCCCCAGAGGATTTGTGAATGGAGGTATATTTGTTTTTGCTCATTATGGCCTGAGGCCCTTGGGGCAGGTGAGTACGATGATGCACCCGTGGTGCTTTTCCTGACTTCAGTCATGTTTGTCAAAGTCTTCGAGTTCATAGTTCATGTGAAATGTCACCTTTCCAGGAACTGGCCACAGCACTTTTAGTGGCCCTCAGAAGGTAGGCGCAGGTAGGAGGAGTGGAAGAGGATGGTTAGTATATTCAAAAGTTGTCAGCCAAAAAGTATGGGGTCAACTTTAGTATCTGTCTTTAATGATACTTGGAACTTTTTGCTCTGGGTTGTATCTTTTCCTCAGAAATACAGAGCAGACCTCCTATGGTTCAATACAAGAGATATCTGGAAACATCCAGTGCCAACCCCTTACAAGAAGGAAATCCGGGGCTCCGAGAGGATACTGGACATGTTTAGGAGCTCAGCCAGATCTGGTAGTAGAGAGTGAACTGGTGTCTTTGAGTAGGCTGAAAAATCTATGCCTTTTGTCGTACCAAGGATATTGGTACCTTAAATGTTACCTTACTTGGAAAAAAGGTCTTTGTAGATGTGACTAAATTAAATATTTGGAGAAAAGGAGATTATTTTGAGTTTTGTGATTGGGTCTTAAATGTTACTGCAAGTGTCTTTAAAAAGGAGAGACAGAGGGAGACAGACTAAAAAAAAAAAAAGATGCTGCCACTGAAGCAGGGAATGGAGTAGAGCACCAACGTTCCTAGAACACATGGAAGGTGGCTCTGCTAACACCACAATTTTGGCCCAGGGATACAGATTTTAGATTTCTGGCTTCAAAACTGTGAGAGGCTAAATTTCTATTGTTTTAAGTTAGTAAGTTTGTAGTAGTGCGTTATAGCAGCCCACTTAAAACTAATCTCTCTCTCAGTTTCTCGTTCAGTATATTAGTTTTTCTTATCTTTTCTTTCTTTCTTTTTTTTTTTTTTTTAAGAGACAGGGTCTCACAGTGCAGTTCAGGCTGGCCTTAAGCTCATTTTGTAACCCAGGCTGGTCTCAAACTTGAAAAGATCCTCCTGTCTCAGCCTCCTGAGTGCCTCCATGCCTGACTCCCAGCTTCTTTTTTGTGGTTTCCCTAACTACTTTCTTCCATTGTTTTCTGCACAGGTGAAGTCAGAGCAGGCTTTGGATTTATCCTTGGCATCCTGGACTTCAGGGTCCAGCCCAGAACTTTCCTTTTAGCAGTGCACAATACTTCACGTCGACAGGCTGGTTCTTGTAGGGAGACCACACTCCACTGAGTGTGGAGTGTATGCTTCATGGCTACCAAAGTTCTGGAGGTTGTTGGATGTTAGGAAAAGATGTGCCCAGGACTAGGGAGTGTGGAAGACTTGGGTTCAGGTGTGAGTCCTGTGTCTAGTTTATTATGTGACTACTATTATTTAAATGTGTCCCTTCAGAATTTGTATGTTGGCATCTTTTTTTTTTTTTTTTTTTTGGTTTTTCTCCGGTACCGGGAACCGAACTCACGACGTTGCACTTGCCAGGCAGGTGCTTTGCCGATGAGCTAAATCCCCAGGCCCCTGTTGGCATCTTAATTCCCAAATTTGTATATGAATGACATTTGGGGTGGAGTCTTTAAGAGGTAATTAGGAAAAGATGAGGTCATGATAGCTGGAGTCCCATGGTGGCACTGGTGACTTTTGAAGAGGAAGAAAGAGCCAAACTAGTATCCTTACTCTGTCTTACCACGTGCTGCCATCTGCCCTGTTTTGAGGTAGGAAAGGCCTCTCTGGATGCCGGCACCGTGCTCTGGGATTCCCACCCTTAGAACCATGAGCTACATAAACCTCTATTCTTTACAAAGTATCCAGTCTGTGTTTATTCAATTACAGCAACAGAGAAAAGTGACTTTGGGCAAAGACATTCATACTTCTGGGTCACAGCTTTCCCCAAATACAAAATGGAGGCTGATGAGGTCAGTTTTTCCCAGGTAGCACCCCACATACCACTAGTGGGATCTGAGATGATTT